GACCTCTGGTTCTCTTTTTCTAGTGGTCTCAATGTCTCCTGGTTCTCATCTTCTAGAGACCCCACTGGCTCCTGGTCCTCTATTTCTAGAGGTCTCAGTGTCTCCTGGTTCTTATCTAGAGATCCCACTGGCTTCTGGTTCTCTTTTTCTAGAAGTCTCAATGTTGCCTGGTCTTCTTCTAGAGACCACACTGGCTCTTGGTTCTCTTTTTCTAGAGGCTTCATTGTTTCCTGGTCCTCATCTTCTAAAGACCTCAAGGACCTCTGGTTCTCTGTTTCTAGTGGTCTCACTGTCTCCTGGTTCTCATCTTCTAGAGACTTCACTGGTTCTTGGTTCTCTTTTTCTAGAGGTCTCCCTGTGTCCTGGTCTTCTTCTTCCAGAGACCTCAGTGGTTCCTGGTTCTCTTTTTCTAGAGTTCTCAAGGTCTTGTGCTTCTCATCTTCTGGAGAGTTCAGAAACTCCTGGTTCTCTCTTTCTTGTAGTCTCAAGTTCTCTCGATTCCCATCTTCTAGAGTTCTCAGTGGCTCTTGGTTCTCCTTTTCTAGATCTCTCATTGACTCAAAGTTCTCTTCTCGAGACCTCACTAATTCTTGACTTTCCTTCCCTGGATATAAAAACGTCTCTAGAGTACCTTCAAGAGACCTCATTAGTTCTTGATTCTCCTTTTCTAGAGATTGCAATGTCTGTGAGTCCTCATTTCCTACAGGCTTAAGTAGTTCTAGAGTCTCTTTTTCTTGAGGTCTCACTACATCTGCATTCTTTTCTTCTAAAGACATCAATAGCTCTTGATTCTCCTTTTCTAGACCTTTTGATGTGTCTAAACTCTCTTCTTCTGAAGACTGCAGAGATTCTGGATTCTCTTTCTCTAGAGATCTCAGTGTCTCGTGGGTCTGTTCTTCCAGAGACATCAGTGGCCCTTGAATTTCCTCTTCCAGAGACTTCAGAGTTTCTTTTTCCAAAGGACCCTGGGAGTCCTGGATTTTCTTCATGTTCAGACCCCCATCTTCTTGCCATGTTTCCTGCTGCAGACCGTTCACCATTTTGACCTCTATGGCTGTTTCTTTCTCTGCCAGCCCCCCAATTTGCCCTTCACCTTCCTCCTGGAATCTGCTGGACATTCCAGACCCATTGGGTTCTCCACCTTTGGCCTCTAAACTAGGGCGCTCAGGGTTGAGGGGTGGGGCTGAGGAGGTATGATCCTCAGGGGACTGGCCTGTACTGGCCTCTTGTTGCTCACCCCCGGGTTCCTCTGGTCCTGGCAGGACGCTGGTAGGGATGGCCTCCTTGTCTTTAGCCCATATGGCCTCTGGAGCCCACTGCCTCCCAAGCTGCGGCTGGAGCAGGGAGAGGGGGGCATCCTGGGTTTTGATCTCTGCATCTGTAACAGCGCAGGGAGCCAGAAGTGTGGGCGGGATGGGGGTGCTGGCCAAGGTTGGGGTACGGGCCTGGAGGAATTCTTGGCTCTTCAGAAAGCCTGGCACAGGTGTCTCCAGGGTATCAGGCAAGGGCGAGGAGAGGGGAGTAGGGCTCAGGGCAGAGAGCAAAGGTCCCAGATGCCGGCCCTCTGGCGTCCCAGAGAAATGCAGCTCCAGCTTAGGGTCTGGAAAGGCAGAGGGCAAGAAACAGGGTCAGTAGGTACTGGCAGGGGCCCCCACTTCCAGCAAGAGTGCCGTGAGCCCTGCCCCCACCTTCCACTGGCTAGTGGAGCTGAGAGTACACACCCAGCTGATGAGGCCAAGGAGTCAAGACCTAGACTTGCCTCCCAGGAGAGGAATGGCTCCGGGGTATAAAGAGCAAAGAAGGGGAGAGTCTGGGGGAATCTGGCCCCCCTCCTCTTACCCTGGAAGCTGAGGGAAGCCTTGGAACCACTGCCGGGGGTCTGCAGCCGGGAGTTCTCAGCCTCTAGGAGGGTCCTGGGGATGAGGGAGGAAAAGTCAGTCAGTCCTCCTCTGCCCAAAGGCCTGCAGGCAAGCCAGCCCCGGAGAACTCGGCTAAGCTTGCGGTCCCTGGCCCCGCAGGCTTCCTCTCCATTGTCACCGCTGTCACACAAAAGCCACACGCGGGGCTATACTTGGCTGTACACGTGAAAGCACACGGACACAGACCCGCAGACATCACACACTTGGTTCACACGGCACCACACGCTTATTTGGGACACAGGGCTAGACTCACAGACACAAGCAGATTCCCACAGTGTGCACACACACACACACACACACACACACACACCCAGGCCAGTGATCTCATCCTCCCTGTGGGGCCGATTCTCATGCTAATTGCTGCCTTTGTCCGCAGTGCCTTCTGGAGGGTCTGAGTAGGGGGCTTCCTGGGGGAAATGGGAATTCTCAGGCCGTTCCCATGGGATATAGGCTCCCTCCTTCTCCCCCAGGGCCCCCAAAGCTGCTCACAGACAAAAGCAAATGAATTCTGCACTCTCTCTCTAAATCCTTTTCATGCTTCAAAAACCAGTGGCTAAGCCTGCCCAGACCTTCCCCTCAGTGGTTTGATTGGGGGTCAAGGCCCTCATCCTGGGATCTCTAAGCACTCTGGATCCCAAGCCTTTCAGGGCAACGGAGGTCTTTGTGTCCATGACCCTGCCTCAGTGCCCCATGGGGAATGAGGAGGAGGGGGCTGATAGGGGAGGGGGAAGCTATGCTGAACATCTACTCTCTCTCTACTCTTCTTCAAGGGCTCTGAGTCTGATGAGTGACTGCCATGGTCACACCTCTGTCCTGCTCTCTGGGCTCTGGGCTCCGTGGCCATACAACACTCTCTTCCCCGTCCCAAGACCCTCACTGGCCTTCCCTCTCTGGGCCCTGCCTCCCCTGCCCTCCTGAACCTGTCCCAGGCCCCCTGATTTTGTTGGCCTGTGAATTCTGGGGGCATTGTCCTCATAGCGTGTCTAGCCCTGCCCCCCCCCCCCCCC